AGTGTGAATTTCTGAAATCTGTTGCAGTTTTGTACTGTTTGCCTATCAGGAAATCAGGGAATACTGACTTCCCCTGGAAGCTTTTTCTGTGGGAGGGATGTAAGTTAAAAAGCTGGTTAGATAATCTTCTGGACTTCTAGTAGAGTAGTCTCAAAAATAAAATTTTAAAAACCCCATCCAACACGAAACAGGGATGTGTTTCCTGATAAACATGTTACAAGGATGTTGACATCAAATAAAAGGCCTTTAAATACTTGCTACTAAAGCAAGAAATACAGTAACAGGTCGACTAGTCTGGTTTATTATTAATAAATTGCACTTTATTTGATAGTGAGATTCTCTTAAGAAAAATTACTATTTTCCATTTATTTCAGGTCCAGATCCCACAGCAAGCATGCCAAAAGGTATATAAATCTGCAGACAAGGAATACCAGCGGTGAAGTTAGCCTTTCACAAGCTGGAACATTTTAAGACTGTCTAGCACTGTTAGTTTAAGATGTCCATCTTTACAAACAGAGCTTTCTGTTACATAGTCATCTCTCTGTGTGTTTGTACACTATTTATCACCATGCTACTGAGTTTATACATCTGCATCTATTTTGTGGCTATTACAATGCAGCTTCATGTCCCAAATAACACTTAAAACACAGAAAATTGCTTTTTCTTTACAAAAGCTTCTGGCAAATATCTTTTGGTGAAAGCCCATGCTTTCAAAGTCCCTAAGCACCAGGTTAACTCATCAGATCACCCATGATTAGTATGAGTGTAGTTTCAGATCCGCACAGTTGAAGGTCACCAGTGAGGTATGATTGCAAAGTGATTTGGAGAGGGGGAAAAAAGGAAGAAAATAGCAAATTTGTATAGTGTTTAGAATCTTCCAGATTAGTTTTGTTGTTGTAGCTATGGGGAACAATATAGACTAATTTTTAAAGAACATCATAACACATAGATTCTGGCAGATGATCCCTGTCAGTGCCTCATTTAGTTCTTCTTTGCCTGATACAGACAGTAGTTTAAAATGTAAAGAAGTAGATTTTTATTTGCTTGCAGGAGCCTGAATTGGCTATGCTGTTGCTATACAGTCATGAATGAACTATAAAATTGTCTGCATTAGTCAGAAAGGAGTTGGTAGGCTTTCTAGTGTTGCTTTCCCCTGTCTGTTTGCCTGTGAATCAGACACTGCAGTGGCTCTGAACACTGCAGGCCATTCATTCTCTGTACAGATGTGCTTGCCATAGAGTGTGTAATGCTCACAGTACACTGGTGAGAGCGGCTGCCTGAGAGCAGTGTGTGCTGTAAGCCCTCTCTGTTCCTAGGTCTAGGTCCCGAGACCGCCGCAGACACCGCTCTCGCTCAGCCTCGCGGGAACGGAAGAGAAGGACTCGATCCAAATCCCGTGAGAAACGCCACCGCCACAGGTCCCGCTCCACCAGCCGCAGCCGGAGCCGCAGCCATCATAGAAGCAGGCACAGCTCCAGGGAGAGGAGCCGAGAGCGCAGCTCCAAAAAGAGGTGAGTGTTACCCTAGAAATAAATGGCTTTTCCCAACACACAATTAGAGATTTCACACTAAATTAAGTTTATGCTTACCACTTAGTAATTTCAACACATTTTGAGTCTGTCTCAGATTTCAGTTACAGCTTCAGCATATTTATGGTTTGACACACCAGAGTGCTTTATTCTCTATTTCTTTAAATATAACAATAACAGGGTTATATATTATTTCTGCTTTGGAAGAGCGCCACAGAGTACTGGTGTCAAGTTGATACCAGTTGCATGCAGCATAGAAAGTGAAACAGCTGATTTTCATTTGAACCCAGGGATATCAGCAGTCATCTTACTGTCAGTACCTTCAGGTTTTCCCTTGGGCTCTTGTTCCCAACACCCATCTGTTGTGAACTGCACCAGATAAAAGTAGGTTTAGGTATGCCTGAAACTTTTTGCACTGTATCTGAAGATTGTGCTTTGCGAGGATCTCTCCTGAAAAGATCACTGCAGGGGGCAGGCTGGGGCTGTTGCTTTTCAATGATTCAGTTGCTGTCTGCTCCTGAGGATTGGCTGGCTTGTTTACAAGCCTGAGGAGAGCCTAACTTAAAAGACTTGGGATTGCACAATAAGGCATTTGGTAGGGAAGTCTGCTCATAAACAGGATTCCTTTCTTGTAGAGGTTACCCACTGCGGCATACTCCAAGAGCAGTACAGTGAAAGGGTGACCAGTCTTAAAACCCTGAGACTGTTGACCTACAAGAAGTTCAGGTTTTGAAGTGGCCACACATGCAGGGCTTATAGTTCAAATTATTTCAGGAGTTAAGTCATAGTTACTTTTGCAGGGGACTTGGGCACAAGGTACTTGGTGAACAGTTGTACTAACTCCAGGATGAAGTTCTTATTTGGCATGTAGCCTCTCTTCTTCTGTGACATGTAGTTTATGGAACAAAGTAATGCCTGTGGATCCCAGTGTTTTTTGCAAGTACTAAGTCTTGCAAAACACTACGTTGTAGGGAAAGTAATCTTTTCAGATGAGCAACTAACGTGAAATGTCACTTCTTTGTAAGCTTACAAAAGGAAATTAGTAGAGGAGCATTTTGCAGACCTTAGTTTTGAAGCTTGGAGGTTATGTGAAGTAGCTTTCTCTGAGTGGAGACAGTACAGTCTCACAGTCCAGAGTACCAAATTTTTCAACTAGGAAATGACTGGCTAGCTGTTAAAATTTTTCTGTAAAAATCTGTATTAGAACATTTTGTGATTGCAGTACAGGATAAAATACAGATGGAATGTTTTTCAAAAACAGAACTAAGTGCATGTGTAAGGGAATATAGAGGGAGGAGGGTGTCTAATCCATTTTTCTCCCATACAGGTAGCTAATTTAGTTTAAAACTACCTGGTTTGTTTAACAAAACAGGTCTTTTCTGTCTCCATCATAAAGGTTTTGAAAATGCCTATTTATCAGAGCAAAATATCTAAAAAGAGCACTACCACAACCTTTCAAAGTTACTCAGGGGTTAATTCTTATAACAAAATACGGTTGTAGAACAGATTCCAGATTTGTTCTGTGTTTTTTGTATGCAGCCTCCCTTCCAGAATTATGCAAGTTAATTTCCCGATACTTTTAAGCAAACTCCTGTTTTTAAATGTGTTTTAAGTTTGTAATTGATAGTCTGAGAAGGGCTAGACACTGTTTTTAAACTAGAGACTGCAGATGAGAAATCTCCACTCAACTCTAGTTAACGTAAACTTGGAGATGGAGACTGAAAGTAAGAGATGTAGTGAAGCACATTGAACTTCATCTGGGCTCTGTAGTAAATGTGGATTAAATCTCTCTCAAAGTACTTGTCTTTTGAAGTAGGAAAGGGAGAAGGGTAGAATGATTTGGTGTCTTCTCATACACTTCTGTTTATATAAATCTAAAGCTGGGTTGCAAAACAGAAGAAAAATATAAAACCTAAGTGCTGTTTGATAGCTACCAGTTCATGTCTAACTTGAATTCTCAAATGCACGGCACTTTTCAGATCCTCTAAAGAAAGATCTTCCAGAGACAAAGAGCGTTCGAGAGATCGCGATAGAACATCCCGTGACAAAGACAGAAGCTCGAGGGAGAGGTCGCCGCGGGATTTCAAAGACAAGAAACGTTCCTACGAAAGCGCCAACGGCCGATCGGAGGAGCCAAGGAGCTCAGAGGAGCGTGAAGCAGGGGAGATATAACTGGCTGTATATTCACCTGATCTCTAGCTTCCTATGGAGTTGCATACTTTGGTTTAGTTTACAGTTGTTCAAAGGGACACCAGTGAGCAGTTCCAACACTGATACAACTAGGGTAGATGTACAGTATATAAAAGTGGTTATAACAAAGTGAGAATTAAACCCCATGAATAATGGTGCCTAAAGCTGGGTCCTGGACTTCCACCAAGTTGTAAAACTTTTCTGAAAGATTTCTCTGTATTCAGGACAACAGTTTTATGTACCAAGACGCAGATCTCAATGTTTTTAATCTCCTTTCCGATACAAGTTAGTGAACAAATTATATTGTACTACTTGCCTTGGGTGCTTTTGAACCTTTATAAATTCTCCAATTCTGCTCCAGTCAAAACTGCATCATTGAAAGGTTGTATTTGGGGGATTTTTTGTTTTGTTTGCTTTTTTGTAAGAGGGTGGGTGGATGGATATTAACTTTTACTCTAAGATTATGTTCCCAGTGTTGGGTTTTATTTTTGTTTGGGATCCTAGGAGCTGATTACAGTGGGAGCATTTAGACAGGAACTTGTGCTGGAGAAAGCGGAAATGTCTTTTTACAGTGCCTATTTAGACTTGGAAATTGAACAGCTGTTGCATTACATCTTTTTTATTTCTACTTAAATTTTGAAATCAAAGCCAGTCCCATATCTGTACCATTTGATTGGTATGTGTTCAATATATTTGTTTTTTTCCAGAAGGACTCGTTCTGCTTTTTCTTGTGGAGTACATCTTTAATTGTATTAAAACAAACAAAAAAAACCAGCAACAACAAAGAAAAATTAAGAACAAAAGAAATAAAAAAAAAAATTTAAAAGAAACCATATTGTCCAATAACTTAACAAGGATATACTGGTTTGTTAAGGTGCTTAACTAGCAGTTCAGCCTTTTTAAAAATATCTGATCATTAGTTTTTAACATACAGATGTGTGCTAGGAGAAGCAGCCATTCCGCTTACAATCCTGATTATTCTAAAATCTTCAAAAGCAGAAGCATGTGGAGTCAGAATTATGGAACAGTTTGGGTTGGAAGAGACCTTAAAGACCATCCAGTTCCCCCCCCCTTCCTGTGGTCAGGGACATCTTTCTCTAGTCCAGGTTGCTCAGGGCCCCATCCAGCCTGGCTTTGAGCCGTTCCAAGGATGGGGCATCCACAGCTTCTGTGGGCAACCCCTCACCACCCTCACTGCAAAGAATTGATTCCTAATATCCAGTCTAAATCTACCCTCTTTCAATTTAAAGCCATTCCCCTTTGTGTCCTGATGGAACAGTTTGGGTTGGAAGAGACCTTAAAGACCATCCAGTTCCACCCCCCTTACTGTGGTCAGGGACATCTTTCTCTAGTCCAGGTTGCTCAGGGCCCCATCCAGCCTGGCTTTGAGCTGTTCCAAGGATGGGGCATCCACAGATTCTGTGGGCAACCCCTCACCACCCTCACTGCAAGGAATTGATTCCTAATATCCAGTCTAAATCTACCCTCTTTCAATTTAAAGCCATTCCCCTTTGTGTCCTGACACTACATGCCCTTGTAAAAAGTCTCCCTCCATTTGTGGGCTTCCTCCAGAGCCTTTTCTGCAGGCTGAACAACCTGAACTGTCAGCCTTTCCTCATAGGAGAGGTGCTTAATCCCTCTGATCATCTTTGTGGTCTCCTGTGAGCTCACTCCAATAGGTCCATGTCCTTCCTCTGCTGAGGATCCCAGAGCTGGATGCAGCATTGCAGGTGGGATTGGTGGGGGTCCCACCAGAGCAAAGCAGAGGGGCAGAATCCCTTCTCTCACCCTGTTGCCCACACTGCTTTGGGTGCAGTACAGGACACATTTGCCCATTGCTGGGTTGTGTCCAGCCCCTCATTTGCCCCAAGTCCTTCTTGGCAGGGCCGCTCTCCCATCTGTTCATCCTTCAGCCTGGATTTGTGCTTGGGATTGCCCTGAGGTGCATCACCTTGCACTTGGCCTTGTTGAACTGCTTGAGCTTTGCACAGACCCACTCCTCAAGCCAGTTGAGGTCCCTGTGGATGGAGGTTCCCTTTCCTCCAGTGTGTTGACTGCACCAACTTGCTGAGGGTCCCCTTGATCTGAAGGGGTTGCTGTCCTTTCTGTTGGATTGAAAGTACTTTGGGGTATTTAAACTACTCAGATACGTCCTACTCCCACACAGAAGAATTTAGATATTGGTAGCTTTTTCTCTTTACCACTGAGTTACCTAATAGTGATGCTTAAGAGCAGTGTTTGTAATGATTTATTGGCATTTCCAGCAGGTTCTGCAGCCTGTCTTTCCCTAGTGCAAGTGCCTATGAAGGCCTGCTAGCACCGTTGTGTAATACCACTCACTCTGTGCATTCATCCTCAGTGTTGTTTCTGTAGCATCTTCGGTATGGTCAGAGCACATGGGTGAGAATTCTAACACTGAAGTTAATTTAGCAGTGTATTGGCTGGCAGTGAAAACTAGAACAGGACCTTTATACCTCTGCCAGGACTTGGATCCAGCATTGCACATTCCACTTTAAATTTACATCACTTTAAGCTGCCAAATGATGATGACTAACTACTTAATCCTATTTTAATTTTTTTATCCATTTGAGTTCTGAGCATGAGTTTCCCTCCTGGGACTGTTTCTTGATTTCCTGGATGGATTCATAGGTGGTTGATGAATGGAAGTTGCTGGTGTTTGTCCATCTGCTACAGCCAGAGTGTAAGTGCTTGAAAACATCTATTGTCACATAGTTGTTAATGGAGTTCTAGTGGTGTGACAAAAGGTGACCGGCCATTTCTAGATATATCTTACATAGCACAAGTGCCAGTGATTCCTTTGCAATTCCTTTCTGGAATGATAGTCCAGAAATACTCAGGACCTGTCTCTCCCTGCAGCCAGCAACTAGAAATTTTGTATTGTAAAAAGGGGGAGGAAGGGAGGGTGGGTGAAACTTGTAAACTGTGACAAAACAGTATCTTGACTCCACACTAGCAAATTCTGGATAATATGCCATCCATTTTACAAATGGCTTTTAAATTTAAATTGCAAAAGGGAGATGGGGTTTGGGCCTTCCCTTATGTAGATGAAGTACCACACTAAATGTTAAGCAAGAAGGTATCTCTGATTCCTTCATAAAATAATCTGAATTACTTGTGGAAATACAGGACTGAAGTGCAGTTGGGAAGAAAAAATTAAGATGACTGGTGAAACACAGGATGCAAAAGATTTGGAGCATCTATCAGAAGAGGAGAGTTGTGCCTAATAAATATGGATCTTCCATTCATCAGAACCCAATGACCTTAATTTCCAGGATTGCAAAACTGAGGTATTCATCACCTGTAAATTTCCTGCTGGACAGCTGAAGTGTGTATGGACTGACCTGGGTCTTCATGGTTAAATAGATTATGAAATGGAGCTCTTGAGGGAACCTAGGGGTGCTGTAGCTGAGCATCTGTTTTTGAGGTCTTGGAAATGTTGCTGATGCAGTTGTAGCTCCATAGCAGTTTTTCTCAAACTGAAGATGTACAAAATGAGCAGAAAAAAGTAAATTACCTAACTGATTTAAAGAGTTTGGACCTGTAAGCATCATTCCCATATCTCATAATCAGTCCAGATTAGTGAGGGGAGTGCACAACAAAAAGGTTAAGATGATAAAGAGCTGGAGAATGGCATGTTACCAGAAATGCGATCCTCTCCTGAACACGGAGTCGTAGAATTGGTTGCCTTGAAAAAGCCCATCAAGAACATTGAATCCACCCATTAATCCAGCACTGCCCAGCCCTCCACTAAACCAAGTCCCCAAGTGCCACATCATCATGCCTTCTGAGTACCCCCATGGATGTCAACTCAACCACTTCCCTGGGCAGGGGAAGTGCCAGGCCTTTTCCTGCCCTGGGCAGTCTGTCCCAGTGCCACCACAGCCTGTGTGTTGCTTTCCCACTGCAGCAGGAGGAACCACACAGAAAAATGGTGACATTTCCAAGCAGAGGTGCTTGGCCTAGTGCCACCATATCCCTTACCTAACCTAAGACTTGCCAGTGGAGCTGCCACAGGAGGCTGTTCCTCTGTCCCCCTGCCTTCCATCAGCTGTTCATTCTGGGAGTCACCATCCCATTACTTCAATGATAGTGCTGCTCTGGAGCCCCTCTCTCTGTCCAGCCTGTCTTGCACAACCCATCCCCAGGGGCAATGGGAGAAAATAGATAAACCAGCTCTCTAAGCCAATGCAGAGTGATGACTGAGCAAATGTTACATAGCCTTGAAGCAGGGATTATCTTTGTAGCTGAAGAGAGAATGCTAGCAAGACCTCAGACCCCTGGGGCCAGTGCAAGGCAGCCAAGGGCATGGGTGGCTACATCCAAGCAGATGGTTTAGCTGTAGGGACACAGAAGATGGAGGTTGCAATCAGCATTAAACTATGCATAAATGCAGACTGAGCCATGCTTCAGAGGCAATGGCAGTGTGCAGAGTGTTTTGTAAAGGCATGCAGCACCTGATAACCCCTCCAGTTTACTGTTCTCTGTCCCATATTTCACATGCCACCTTCAGTATCATTTTCCTTTACTCCAAGGCAGTAAAGATTAGTTTCTTCTGATGTAGGGGCTTATAAAAAATGTTAATGCACTCTTTGTCCAGTCCTGCATGATGGTTCTTGCTCTTTGGTTTTTTTGCTTTGATCACTTTTTTCCCCTTGCTTAATAAATTCTTGCACTGTCACTACTTATGTAATTATTTATTCTTTTCAGTAAGACCCTGCAGTTTGCAAAGCTGGGAAGCAGCAGACTGCTGGGCTGGAGTTGTATCAGCAGCTGGAAATACAAGGAAAGAGGAAGAAATGTTTCCTTCTGGCCCTGGCTCTCCACTTTATCCCTGCTTTCCCCTCTGTGGGCATATACTGGAGTCGGCAGGCAATTATAAAGTTCTCTCATGACTTACCTCTCCTGGCTCTGGCTTTTCACTTCCTGTTGCTGGGGAAGCTGCAGTCCCAAATCCCTTCCCCTAGGCTCAGTGGTGCTGCCAGAGCGCTGCAGGCAAGCAGAGTTCTAGGAGATGCACCATCAGAAAGGCAGGATTAACTAGCAGCAAAGCAGGGCTGGACACCAGCGAGGTCACAAAGGGCCTGAGAGCAGCAGGAGCTGCTGTGGCTGTACAGCCCTTTCCCAGGCTGAAGCTATCTGACAAGTGCTGACTGTGGTAAAGTATTGGCGGTGATGCTCAGTTAAGGGCACAAGGCTTAGAAATCGTTCCAGGTGCTGGCTCAGAGAGGCTGCAAAGAAGGCATTTTTACAGCACTGACCCTGAGGCACCTTCAGCCCGGCTGGAGCCTGTCTCCATCTCTGGAAGGTGGTAAGTGGGAAGGGACTTTGCATTGGAGCCACTGTAACTTTTCTGATTGCTGCCTTCAAATCTCCCAAAGCTCAAACTGGTTTGCAGCAGAGCAATGGGAGTAAAAAATTGCCACCACCTCTTTTCAGAGCTTTAACTACGTGTACTCCTTTAGAGGGATTTGAGACTATAAATATTTTTTTACACATCTTGTTCTTGTTTTGCAGTCCTTGCCAGTGTTGTGTGATATGCTTCCCTTTCTCCCCGAGCTGAACAGAAAACAAGCAAATAAAGCAGCCTGCCCCATCTTCCCCTCTAGCTAGAGTTCCTCTTCTGAACTTTGGGATTTAGCATCCTTTGCCAAATGCAGTGGGTGATGAAAACTACATGTTGAATGAAGGAAACCTCTGCATTTTTACTTGTTTACAAAACTTGCATCATGGTGAAGTGAAAACCATGAACAGCCTGACTGCCACAAGCGTGATGAATGCCTGGGTGGGGGCTTGAGCTGGTTTTGGAAGTCTCCCAGTAGCACCAATAAATGTGCACTATAACCAGCTGCCACTGCTGCACATCACCTTTTCTGTGAAGCAAATGAGAGGGCACATCTGCTTTCTCTGTGTTTATTGCATTACACTGAAGCAAACCAGCATGTGGTTATTTGCAGTTATTAGCTGATTATTTCACCAAATCTAAGGAATACAAAGAAAAGCAATTAAATAGTTCAGGACCCAGTCAGCACTGAAGGGAGGCTCAGGCAGTGTGACTGGACAGAAAGTGTCCCGTGCCAGGCTGAGGTCCCTGTGCTGCCCACACAGCAAGGCAGCAGTCTCCATCAGCTGGCTGCATTTTGAGTGCACAAGAGCCAGTGAGTTCTGCTCTTGCCTCATGTGGGAACTCAACCCAAGTAATTTCCTGGGAGTGACACGGTGAAATCCACACCCTGGAGAAGTTCATCCCTGCCCAGAGGGGTCCAGTGGTGACCACACTCAGTGTTGTCATCCCTTGTGCTGAAAGCTGCTGTGAGAAACCAAGGTTGGGTGACTCTTCTGGCTCAGGCAAGATGGGACTTTCCTCGTGTCTCTCCCAGATGTTGGTCATTCCCATACACCACTTCCCCTTTGTTTAAGTTCAAACACAAAACAATACTCAGGCCTCTTAAATAATGACCTCTACCAAGATTCTGGAGATGCTTCACAATGGTCTCCTTCCTGTCATTAGTGAGGATAGAGAGGTGGTAGGTGAGCCAAAGAGCTGCTGGTGCTGCTGGCAGGAGCAAGTCTTTCTTTTAGGAATAGAAAGCCTAAAGTCACCATCTTAAAATGTCTTCAAGGACAGTGGCCAGAGGAATTCACTTGAAACACTGAAACTGCAAAGCATATCAAGATTTGTTGGTTGACTTTGATGTATCTGCGGGTTTTGTTTAGCTGTAGAAACAGTTTGCTAAAGAAATTATTGACATTGATATTCTATATTGTATAAGCCTTTTTTCTTGCTTTTTTTTTATTTTTAAATTTTAATTTTTCCAGCTGTGGCTGGGGGCCCAAAAGCAACAAATCAGTGCTGGCAAGTTGTTTGAAGAGCCTGGAGGGTGCACATCCTCACCAACCCTCCTCTTTGTAGATATTGTTCAGGTGGGTACAGATTTCATTGGTCACCTTCTCAAAGGAAGCTTTGCAGTCTCCGCCAAATTTCTCCTCCATCAGTTGTAAGATAATGTCACAGATAATCTAAGCAAGGAGAAGGGAACAAACAGCCAGTGTGAACTTTTCTCCATATTAGAGGCATAAGAACTTACATATCTTTAGTTGGGATTCTTGGAGGGCAGAAAGGGGTACAAGAAAATTCAGAGCACATGACCTGCAGGGCTTGTAACAGGGCATGGAAAATAAGCTGCATTATAGAATTCACAAAAAAAAACTGCTGCTGCTGTTTTTAACTACCCTAGTTAATGTTGACTGCACCTATCACTTAAGGATGGCTCTGCAGGACTCATGTGCTTCATCCATCCACTGCAATCCTTCTCCAGGCAGGGGACTGTCCCAGATATTTAGAGGCCATGATGAGCCCTTTGTTGGACACCTATGGAATACATGGCTTGGGGGGTAAGTTTTTCCCTGACCTTTCCTGCTTGTTAGCTATCCAGCACTCTGTAGCAGAGTTCTTGCAGTCAGGTAGGGGTACACTTTTAAATGCCAACTCCTTTCCTGTACAGCATTTACTGTTTTGTGTGCATTTTTATCCCGAAAAAGTATTTTCAGCCAGAAATCATCCCTTATTTTCCCTCTCATTGAAAATTGGGCCCACTGCTTTTTAAGTCACCTTCATTTGGAAATAATCTTTGCTAGAAGGTGCCTCTTTTTGCTGTGTAAGGCAGACAAAATAGTTATAAATGCACTCTGCTAGTGACCTTAGGTGGATCTGGGCAAGTAATTTAATCCTGTATTTATTATTTGAGTTTGTTTAATTATGACAATGCTGTTGTCATTGTTGCTCAATAACAGCTGGTTTAGTTGTCCTGGAAAAGCTCAGCTCCTGTTACAAGATAAAAAATACATCAGGTACTGAAGCCCAGTGTTAAAGTGCTTTTCTGTATATTGTTATTAAATGGCAGGTGTGGGAATGGTATTGAACTGAGAAAACCCTCTACAGCTCATGGGCAGCTGTGCTGCTCCCTCCACATCACCTGCCTGCACCACATCTGCTGTCCAGCCGTCTTCCCCACTGATGCCAGATCTCTCACTCCTGCCACCTTCCACCACCTCCATTCTCTGAGGCATATATATGTGTTCCTACATACAAAGCCTATGTTCCTCAGTTCTACCCCTCAAAGGGGAAAACATGCCCTCCTCACAATTACACCCTTTGGGAAGAGGGCTGCTCACTCACCCTAAAGTTTTTGGGGTCAATCTTCAGCTGGGTGGCATGTTTCTTGCCAAGTGGGGTCACTATCCCAAGAAAAGCCTCAGAGTTGTCCAGGTGTTGCACCATGTCGTTGATGGCACTGAAAACCTTCTTGCCATGGCCCCTGACTTGGTCTGACTGTTTCATTTCTTCGGCAGAGTCCATGCCTTTGAAATGTGAGAAGTAGGACTTGGTGTCTGGGTGCTCAGTAAACATCCTGTTGAGCAAAGAGAGACATCCTGACTTGTGGACCAAGGTATCAATGCAGGCATAGCCACATATTCCAGGCCTTGCCTTCTGTATTTATATCCCTTTTCCCCTTCTCTTTATTAGAACAGATAGTTCTGCATTCCTTGTTTCTCCTTTGCCTTTTGCACCTGTGCATAACCCCCATGCACATAGCAGCCACTCCTCTCTCCCTTGCCTCTCCCCAGGGCATTTCCTTTGCTCATTCCACCTTAAAACCTATAATGAACTTATTCCACTCCTTCTAAAGATAATATTTCCTCAGTGTTAACTCTGTGTTGCTTTCACAGAGAAGTGGGAGCACGTTCACATGGGGTGACTGTGACAGTTTAATATTCCCAAAGGTGTTTTGCACAGCAGATATGATCACTGTGATCCTGGTGGGTGTTTTCATAGAGAAACCCTACTATTGGTTTTGTTAATTAACCCCTTCCTGTAGTCCACTGCAAAGCTTTCTTACTGCCTGCGATGGATTGTTGTTTGAGTATGGGGTGCTGCTCATTCCATTTATTCAGAAGTAACACAATCCACTGTGTTTAAACTTACCTTTGATCAATTACAGTCATCTTGGTCAAACTCTTTTTAAAAAAGCAATTTACTCCATTGGGTAAACTGGTTATCCACCTGAAATATCCATAGCAAATTCCACATTGCATTTCACAGTCACAAAATGGTTGGGCTTGAAAGAACCTCTGAAGGTCATCTGGGTCAATACACTGGTCAAGCCAGTTGCCCAGGACCATGGTCAGATGGCTTTTGAGTATTCTCCATCTATGGAGATTCAACAACTTCTTTGGGCAATTTGTGTCAGTGCTCAGTTGCACTCAGAAGTAAAAAAATTGTTTCCTGATGTTCAAGGGAACCTTCTGTGTTTCAGTTTGGGCCCATTGACTCTGGTCCTGTCTCGTGGTACCACTGAGACAAGCCTGGCTGTGCCTTCTTTGCACTCTCCCTTCAGGATTTTATGTACACATTGACAAGATTCCCCTGAGCTTTCTCTTCTCCAGGCTGAGCAGTCACAGCTTTCTCTGCCTTTCTTTACTGGAGAGATACTACAGTCCCCTCATCATCTTCCTGGCCCTTTGTTGGACTCTTTCCATCATGGCCACAACTCTCTTGTGCTGGGAAACCCTGACCTCTTCTGTAGGCAATCTGGGGCTGTAGGACACTAAAGTAAAACCTTCTAGAGTAAATTACCCCAGGGAGGCAAACTGCTGGAGGCTACTAACATTTTATGGCTGCATTTCTGACCCTAACTGTGCTCAGATTGTGTCACCTGCAGAAGGAAAGAGCAGCATGCAAGACTTGGTGAGGGTAATCCAGGCACAAGGTGTGATATACAAGAAAGCTGGAGGGTGGGATAAATGTCTGAGAACTAGAAATAGTATTTGAACTGATCCACACTTATGGAGGTGAGGTAAGTCCCAAACGAGAGTGGAATATGTGAAAGGTGAACAGAAGAGAGGGAAACAGGATGAAAACTAAGAGAGGAAAGTCCACAGAAAGACTATAATACAGTGGAACAGATGAACAGAGGCTGAAGAAGAATCAGAAGTGAAATAGTGAGTTGAAAAAAAAATTAAAAGAGTTCAGAGGTAAAGAGGAAGAGGGAAATAATGCCCATGTTTTATTCCCATTCTCTTTCATACCACACTTGCTTTTCTTTACCTTACATGGGTGAAGATATTGTTCTTGTCTCTTCTTCTTTTCCCACCCCCTTACCCCTTTCCTTTTATTTTTCCTTGTGTGGATTCCTCCTCTTCCTAGCAAGGGCTGCATGAAAAACATCATGACATGCTCCCAGGCAGTAACTTCATCCTTGCTGTTCTTCCTCCACCTCTCCAGGGCAGTAGTTGGATGGGCTCTTTCCTTACCTGACCAGCACAGCTGTCCCATTGTCCTCAGCATCCACATATATCTTCTCCCAGGCACCACGAGCACTTTGCACCTCTGCTTCAGAAAGTGACATGGTGGAGGAGATGTTGGTAACAGAGGGTGCAGCAGGAGGGAGAAGGACAGGGAGGTCCTGGCAGGGTCTTTCTGCTCCAGTTCTCTCCTCAGGGCTCTCTAAATACTGCCCTGGGGATTTAAGAGATCTTGAAGGGTCTCTTTGTCTCTGTTACCCTCAGTAGCATTTCTGCAGGTTTTAGAGCTACCTAATCACTTTTAATCAGGAAAGAAACCAACCACATGAGAAGGAGGACTAGCCCTGTAGTCATAGGTCAGGTGCCAAAGCAAAGGTCTCACTGTCTGAGGAGAGAAGGGAAAAAAGGCATTTTTCAGTGGGGAAAAAAAAGATCAATTCTCTTCCCCTCTCACCCCTGCCAAAGCCAGTGCTTGGCTCCTTTTCCTGAAGGTGATCTTTGCCTGAGCATTAATTTTCCTGGTTTTCTCCCAAGAGTGCTGCTGTGCTGAGGGCACTGTGGTGCCCTGCTATCCTCTCTCCCTGGCTCTCTTTGGTCTTTCAAAGATCCTGTTTCTAGCTCCAGCAACTCTCTCCAGTCCTGCCTTCATGCCATGGTCTCTGCTTTCCCCATGGCTTAACAGGGGCTCACCCCACAGCTGCTCCCAGCCTTGGTCCCATGAGGGTGGGAGGCTTCACCAGACCAAAATGAGCATTGCAGGGCTGGTGATGGCAGCGTGGCACAGCATCCACGGCCATAGTGCCCTGCAAAGCCACTTCATTTTAGCACTGCAGGTACAGGGTGCAGCGCAGCCAGGCCAGGAGCAGCGGCATTTCACTTTCCTAATCCTCTTGGCCTGCAGCTGGGATCTCTGTCCTGTCTCTGAGCTCTGACTGCCTGAGAGAGAGATAAGGGGTGGAAGAAGGGCCAGAGTGGAGCTGCAGACAGCATCACTGGACTTGTTACAGTCACAGTCACTTGGAACTGGAGGCAAAAAGTTTTCATGGATTATCCATGCAATGCCTGGGCTTAACCTCTGGCAGGAATGTTCTGGTTAAGTACAGGGCACGCACGCAAAATAAGGGCTAAGGGGCTTGAGAAACTGCTGCTGGATGCTGAGGGCAGACAAAACCTCATATTGTTTGGGATGGTTTAGAGGAGGGAAGGAACAGGTGTGAGGGGAAAATATGCAGCATGTCCAGAAAAACCAGCCTGATAACCCAGGGCAGAAGGTAAGTGCTGGATGCAATCTCACAGAGACTGACTGGTGTTGGTGAGGTTTTGTCCCACCGCTGCTGAGGGAGGCCTCAAATTACTGCGCTGAAATCTATCCCCTCTTGCCTCCCTCTCCCTTTTTGCCACACAGGAAACAAAGAACAGTCTGACAGAAAGCTGCAAATCAGTTGTGGGTGCCCCATCTCTTTCCCCGGCTAGCTGGTGACAAGAGAGGGGGGGCTGCAGGTTCCCCCTGGAGCTCCGTTGAATCCCAGTTGTCAATTGTTTCGGCGCAGTATAAAACACAGGCAGCACACACGGGTCCCAGAGAAACT